GAACACACCTTTGTGTACTATTTTTGTGCACCTTTTAAGTCATAATCTTTGGAGCTGGTTGGGAGCTCCAAGGGCAGCCTTGCTTTTGTTTTGTGAGCCTTGGGTAAGTTCCTTCACTTGATCATGTGTTTTAGGGGCTTAAAGTTGATGTCTTGGTATGCTTATTGGTTTAACAAGTAACCAACTATTATATGAACATAAATGGACTTAAAAATGCATGCTTGGACGCTGGAATGGATTAAAAATGGAACATTGCAAGGATATCTTCGCGAAATGCAGAAACTGCATTCTGTCGCGAAATATCTGAATATTTGGTCGGGAAATATCCGGATATTGATATCCGGATATGAGGATATGGATATCCGGATACTGATATCCGAATATTGCCAATGAGATATCCGAATATTGATATCCGGATATGCCCCCGAGAGATATCCGGATATTGATATCGGGATATCCCATCGACAGATATTCAGATATTCTGGGTTTTCGAGGAACAGTAGCTTACTGTTCATCCAGAACTGATGTTTGGGTTTGTGGACCCTAGTTTGAGGAAGTTGAACTTCTGTAGTAATTAAACTAAGTCAGAACCTGTGTGTTTAAGGGCTTGTGGCTTTGTGAGGAGCCTAAAGACGTAAAACATAATGAAAGGGCGTTGTCTTTTATTGTATGCTTATGAAGTATGGATATTGAAGTTATAATTGGTCCCTATCAGATTGTGATTCTGCTGTGTGTTGGACTTGAGCTGTATGGACTCTTGGCATTGGGTAGTTAGCTTGCAAGGTAAGCTTTCGTGTCCTCGGCTTTGCCATTGTTTGGTTCCACCATGTCCCATGGGGGGATGGTTTATATGCATGTTGTGTTTACATGCTTTTATATTTGGAAATGCTGTTGAGCTATTATATGCAACGTGCCTTTATGATATGCATGTGGTGTTCCACCTATACGGTAAGCCTGAGTATGTGATGCATACAAGATGGTGAGGCTGTGGGTGAGGTGCAAGCGATGTTCCTTGTACTACTGTAGGTAATAGATGTATTCCTGCATTTCTCTGGCCAGTAGAATAGTTATAACACACATGGCATGAATATCTGTTGCACTGCATAGTTTTGGAACTTATATTGGAAATTACTGCTTTTGAACTTATATTGCACATGTAAGTGAGCTTGGGGTGGAAGATCCTTGAGGACCCCTTGTCTTTCTGAGATTTCTTGTTTAGAGATCTCACCCCACGTTTGGGGACGCTTATTTCAGGTTCAGGTAACCCAGGGGTTAAGGCCTCGGGTGGCAGGAGGCCAAAGCTTAGTTGATTCATGTTTATGCTACTTATGCTGATATGCTGTTATGATTGGATGCTGGATCATGTTTACTGTCTTATGCTTTTAGCTTCAGTTTATGGATTTCTGTGTTGAGACTTTGCTGGTTATGCTGTTGAGTTGGTGAGCATGGGGATTGTCCATGCCATATAGACTTTATTATGTCTTGTTTTATTTGGGGTTGTAATAGTGATTAGGATATTGTCCGGACTACGTGTTGTAGATCTGTGACTTTAGATACTCACTTTATTTATATATTGAGGTATTTCAGTTAGTTGTCCTTGCAACTTACATACAGGCGATATTTTATGAAATTGATTAAGTATTCAACTTGGCTAAGGTTAATGACGTCATAAATGAATTAAAGAAAAAGTTATTCCGCATTTTAATTAAGCGTGGCTTAATACGATGACATGATAACAATCCGGGTATACACGGGGTATACAATAGGCATTGGAGGGGTTAGCTTGCTGCCCTTGCCCTTGGAAATATTGGGGTTGTTGATTCTGCCTCCAACCTTGATTAAAATTGTTGGAAAGATTATTTTGGTTCATATTTTGGTTCCCCACATAAAAGATAGATTCTGGGTTGGATGGGCAGCTACCAAACAAATGGGGCCCACCACAGAAAACACAAGTTTCACCTGTGTTCACTGCATTGACTTGAGATTGGGGGACTGGAACTTGAGGTGTAGGTATTGGAACTTGAGGTTGAGACAATCTTGTCGCAATGGCTTGTCCTTGGGTTCTCACTAAAGTGGATAGTGCATCAAACTTGGCTGAAAGGGCTGTTACAGGATCTACCTCATGCAAACCAGCCACTCTCCTTGACTGATTTCTCTCTTCAGGCCATTGGGCATAATTTTGAGTCATTTGTTCTAACAACTCGTGGGCTTGATTAAAGGACATGGACATAAACATGCCATTAGCAGCAGAATTTGCTAAGGCTCTGTTTTGAGTGTTCAGGCTGTTATAAAGGGTTTGTAACACTGCCCAAGATGGCAAGCCATGGTTGGGACATTGTTTAAGAAGGATCTTAAACCTCTCCCACACATCCACTAAGGTCTCACCATCCTTCTGCATGAAGTTGGTGATATCTCATTTGGTTTGCACTATCTTGTTGGATGGGAAAATTTTCATGATAAATTTTTCAGCAAGTGTGTGCCAATTGGTTATGGAGTTGGATGGAAGGGAGTTCAACCACTCTTTGGCTTTATCAGCCAGTGAATGAGGGAAGAGCTTCAATCTTAGAACATCATCCGAGATGTTAGGATTTCTAAATGTGTTGGCCACTTCTATGAAATTCCTAAGGTGCTTGTGTGGGTCTTCCATCAACAGACCATGGAACTGCCCCATATTTTGGAGCATGGTGAACATCACCGGTTCTAACTTAAAGGGTACTCCATTAACAGGTTGGGCAATACTTGGGTCTAACTCATCCAGCACAGGTATGATGAAGTCCATCATGGACCTATCATTATCATCAATTACTGGTGGGTTATGTATCCTTGCAGGTCCTCCTTCTCCTTCATTCCCATTTACACTTCCTAAATCCTTCATTTCTTCAACTTCTAGAAGTGGAATTTGCCTATGTGCTCTCTGGGCTCTTCTCCTAACTCTAAATGTCCTTTCAGGTTCTGGATCAAAAGATTCTAAGAAAGGGTGAGGAGTTGCACTCATGCACCCTTTGATCTAAGACCAATTAGCCTGACTAGCTTAAACAACCTAGATGACTATTCAGTTATTTCTAAAAAAAAAATTAACAGCAACCAATCAAACAGAAAAGTCTCAAGTTGCAGCAGAAACAATATCCACAACCAAAACAGAATTATAGAACAGTACCAATATATCCAAACTAACAGAATGAAACTAGTAATAAAAATAAAAGACTGAAACTACAAAATTAAGAAATAAATTAACAGCTATGAAACAATAAACTAGAAAATGAAATGACAGAAAAATTATATAAAACATGTAGAAAATCAGAATATGAACAGAAATCAAACTACCTCTATTAAAGAACATACAACAACAGTAACTACACAATAAAGAAAACAGAATTAAAAGTAATCTAAAAAATAAAAACAGAAAATTAAATTACTCAGGAACAGCAATCACACAGAATTCTACAAATGTACGCCTTCGATCCCCAGCAACGGCGCCAAAAACTTGTTGCCTTGCTAACAGTTATGCAAGTATGCGCGCAAGTATACGCGACAACAAGTAATATAGGGCGTATATGAGACCATTTTATCGTTCCCACAAGCATCTTTAGCGTGTGTAACTTGACTAAACTTTGTAATTGCTGAAACTGAACCTAATCTAAAAAATGAGTAAAAATAAAAACCAAATAATCACAAGACTAAGTTAAAATATTACTAACCAATGACTTCTTTTCTTTTTGGATTTTGAAAATTGATTTCAGGAACTAAAGAGTGAAAAATCAAGGGAAAACAAATCGGGTTTCTGATGTAAAAAAAGAAATTTTATATAAAGCAATTATAAACAGAACTATTTTTGAAATATTAAAAATCACAGGAAAAGAAATTTAAGTTGGTGAAAAATAAGTTGTAAAGTAGGTTGAGTTTCGGTTCCCCTTCCCAACAGCCTCTGAATGAATGCTAATTACAAATTATTAAAAATAAACTCCCAATTAACGGATATTTTCTATTTGATTTTAATCTCTTAAAATCATTTTGTCCCAAACAACATATGCATATCTCTATGCTAAATGGAGCAAAGACTCAGCTGAATCCTGTCCAAAAATTACATGGTGGCTGTCCTCATCTCTGAGTGACAGCCCTTGAGTGCTCTCACACTCAAGTCCATGTGTTTAATACATGTCCAGATTTAGTCATCTCTCAATGACTAATTCCTAAAAATAAAATCCATCACCAGGCCTTAATAACAGACTATTTAATTGCAAGCACAACATTAAACAAAAGGGAATTAACTTTTAACAAAATCAATCAACAAACATCCAAACTGTGGTTCGGGTACCTACACCCAACCCTGAGAAGATTATCTCATACCCATGAGGGTTGAGTTACAAAACAGCAAGCGAATATTCCAATTATAAAACCGAAAAGTGCAGAAAATAAAGATACAGCACGAGTCCTAATGACCGGAAAATTCTCAGTGTTGTACCAACATGAGTGAATAGAAAGCAGACTCCATTACAGCACCAAGACAAAGAAAAATAAAATCTCCATAAAGGGTACAGAAAAATAAAAGGTAAAACCAGATGTAAAAACCAGAGAGCCGCACACTCATTATTTCTTCTCTTTATATAGCCTTCTTCCTTTGCATGCACAGACTTCTGCTTCACACCTCAGCAAGCATCACACGCTCCTTGCGCGTTACACATCAGTGAACCCCAATCGCTCCCCACTCGCATCAGACAATCCAAATGAAATTTCCCTCCAATTTCCCGAAAATTCTTGCAACCATATAATTTAATTTCTGTCAAAAAGAGACATTCTTTGATGCATGCAGGGAGAATTGTGAGATTACTCTTGGATAGGTATAACCATTTCAAATTGACAAACAAAGAGAGACCTTTTCGAATGAATTCGTCTGATATATTGCATTGCCAAAGGTCCATATCAAGGATGTTCTCAAACACCAATGAGCTCACTTGTGCATCACCTTTGTCTTGTTTATATATAAGCAATCTCTCACATTCCTAAACAATCAAGCGATCAAGTTCTTGCATCATCAAAATGCTACTTGGTAATTGAACAATTCCACAACCGCCCAACGCTAGAATTTGAAGCCGAGTGAGATTTTGAATAGAAAATGGCAGTTCTTTTATGGGAGTTTCAATCAAATCAAGCTGTGTTATTTTTTCGATCTTTCCTAATATTTCTGGAAAATTCTCAAGACTAGGACAATCTGAAAGATTGAGTTCTTCAAGAGAGGGCAACTTGATGGGTGGAAAACTCCTAAACTTCTTGTATCCATTAGCTTTCAAAATTTTAAGTTTATCCAGGAATCCAACTGATTTGTGAATTTTAATTAAATTCTCACAATATCCAAATGATAATTCTTCTAAATTTGGGACACCAGACACATCAGGTATCTCTGTTATAAATTCGCAGTCATCAAAATTCAAGACTTTCATATTCACAAACTTCTGCAACAAGAAAAAGAAAAAGAAAAAAATACAAGAATCAAATGAATTATCTCAGAATGAATATATTGATGTAGAAGAACAGGGAAAAGAACATATTATTCTTACCTTCTTTGGTATGAGAAAATTAATTGACACAAAGCGACTTCCGGGTAACTCCAGTATCATAAGATTTTTTTGATTAAAATTAGATGGTAAAGATGGTGAAGGATATTCCTACCATTCCAGTACTCTCAAACTACTTGGAAGATGTTTGGGACCTTCAGAAAAATGAGCATTTCTTATAATAAGTGTTTTCAGGTTTTTCATCTGCTTGAAGCTGTTTCCATCCCATTACTACTTCAAAATCAAGGGAGTCCAGAATCATGATTTGAATTCTACTACTTCCCTTTTAAAACAAAGGCACATGTCAACCACAAGACACATATATATGTTTTTCAATTCAATATGCATATTTAGAGAAGATTACATATTGTAAACACTCATTTATAGCGAGAAAGACTCTTTTTTTTCAAAAAAAAAGAAAAAAGAAAAGGGAAAAAAACCCAAGGGGAGATAGACTTGGAGAAGTTGAGGGTTTGAAGGGCCTTGAGTTTTTTTGGCGGACATCAGAGAAAGATAACGAATGACAGACTGCTACTTCATTATCATATTAAACATAGCAAAAATCAATAATCATGCGCAATAGTTTTTTTAATTTTCACCCAAACTTAGTCAACAAAACCATCATTTAGCTCACATTGATCGAACTAAGTCCAAATGTGACATATTCTTCAAATTGCAAATATTTAGACAACAAAGAACTTTCAAAGATTACCAAAAATTTCAAAAGAATAATAAGAAAAAAATATTTTCAAGTAAATGTCAAAGGATTTTGTCACAGTAACACTAAGTAAAGGAATACAAAGTTATGTTATTCCATCAAATAGAGAAGTAGCTTATACAGAGGTATGCAGCATGGGAGAGATATAACACCATGGTCCTTTCATGGCTGCATTGGTCAATAAAAGATTCTATCTCTCAATCGATATTATGGATGGATAGAGCTTCAGACGTATGGAATGATCTTAAAGAGAGGTTATCTCAATCTGATGTTTTTAGAATCTCTGGTTTACAAGATGACTTATACAGGCTACATCAGGGTGATAATATTGTAGTTTGATTACTACACCAAACATAAGATCCTGTGGGATGAACTAGAAGCTTTGCAGCTAACACCAACATGCAGAGGCATACACCCTTGCTGTTCAATTTCAGCAGAAGTCAAAAAGATTCGAGAAAGGGATTACTCGATTCGTTTTCTCAAGGGGTTGAGTGATCAGTTTTCCAATGTAAGGTCTCAAATAAGGTTAATGGACCCATTACCATAAGTCAACAGAGTATTTTCTGTTAGTACATAGGTGTCCTAGAGACAATCTGAGAGTCAGATGGACCCATGTACTTCTTTATTTGTTATGAATAAATTTTATGAATAAAAGCATTATTTATCTTGTTTCATATTGCATGTCTCAAATATTGAATATGAGTAACTGGATAAAGCCCTTGGAATGAAACAGGTGTCACATTGAGGATTTTTAATAGGGATCACGATCATGAGGGCTCAATGACACCACACGTCCATTGCCAGAAATATATTCCTAGTCTAGAGATGCCGATAATGGACATTGGTGATCTCGGATAAGACTAGCACGATTCAGCTACTTGCATGGAGATGCAAGGTAGAGTCGTCGTGAGCTACAGACATGGAGATGTCTTAGCTGACTCGTGGGTGGACCTATTGGAGAATAGTGCGCACTGAACTGACCCAAAAAGAGACACTACAAGGAAATGTCACAGATAGTATCAATAGGTAATGTCTCTTATTATTTGGGTGTGTCTTTCCTTAGACCTGACGTTGTCGTATAGACCTGTGCTCTGAAAGACTTGCTTTGATTGTATATCTTGTCTGCCTGAAACATGGAGACTCGTAGATATATTCTTGGGCATGCCCTACGGACTCAGGGCTAGTGTGACAAGCTAAAGGAATTCGTCAATCTCTGTGAGAGATTAGGTTATCCTTAGACCGGTGAAACCGGGATGACATTTACGGGACTCAGGAATCTATGCATAGTAAAGGAGTCATGAGATGGCCCGCTCTTTAGAGTCCGTAAATGAAGATTCTCTGTTTCAGCAAAAGCTAACCTTAGACCGCAGGGGTTGATACGTTTTCCTTGACCTAGGTCAATGGGATGGATAACCGAGACGAAAGGACAATTCAGACGGTAACCAAATAGGTATAACAGGTTGATCATTCGATGAACTCAACTAGCTCTAGGACAACAAAGCATTGCTAGTGCTCTGTGTTGTCATTAGATGAATTAGGCCTTATGGGCCCAAGCCCATTTATGTCAGTGGCTATGTTGGGCCTGATGGGTCGCACACAAACACCTTAAGTTGTCTTGAATTCTAGCATATGTGTTTTGGGCCCAATAAGGCATAATGGGCCTAAGTTGGAAAAGCCCACATATTGGGCCAAGAGAGAGTAGTGGCATCATGGGTCAAGTTGGACTTGATCCATGATGTAACCTAATTAATTTAAATGTTAAATTAATAAAATTAATTTGAATTCCTATTTCGAATTTCGAATTTAAATAAAATTAATTTAAATTCTAATTTTGAATTTGAAATTGGAATTTAAATATAGTCATTAAATTAGATTTATTGAAGATGGAGAAAACAAAGGAAACCAATCAATCTTTGGAAATAAATCAATTGGATTGATTGATCAAAATTAAGGAAACCAATTAATTAAATTAATTGGCTAAAATTGGAGAAACAAATCAATTGGATTGATTGACCAAAATTAAAGAAAACCAATTAATTAAATTAATTGGCTGAAATTAGGGAAACAAATCAATTGGATTGATTGGTCAAAATTAAGGAAACCAATTAAATAAATTAATTGGCTGAAATTTGGGAAAGCAATCAATTGGATTGATTGGATAAAATTAAGGAAACCAATTAATTAAATTAATTTGCTGAAATTGGGGGAACCATTCAATTAGATTGATTGAATAAAATTAAGGAAATTACCCAACAAGATTGTGACTTGATGAGAGCGCTGATTTGACCTAGTCTTAAGTTAATGTGTCGCCACATCTATATATAACCCCTATTCTTCTTTAGTTTCGTATCTCTTCTTCTTCTCTAATTTTCTCCACTGAAACCTTAGGCAACACACACATCAGTGTGGTGGCTATCTCTCTCTTGGAATAACCAAAGGCATAACCCAATCTCTATTCTTTTCTTGAGTCTAGCAACCTCCATTGAAGGATATTGGGCATTCGAAGAAGTGTTCTTCTCTTACAAGACAACAAGGTGGTGTGGATTTCCATCGGAGGACTTGTGTTCTTCAAGTCTGAAGAATTGATCAAGAACACATTTGATCAGGAATAATTATCCGAATAAAGGTATCAACTTTAAACCCTAACATGTCTATTGCATGAATCATGGGTTGAACATGATTGAGGGTGGGCAAAGGTTGCTTCTTCCGCACAAAATTTTAATTTTTCCCTCTTTTATGTTCATGGCCTACAAAAGGCTACTTTCATTTTCTTTGGTCATGCAACAAGAAAGGCAACTAAAGATAGAAGAAGGTGCTGTTAATCAAGAAATTCATATAACTTTCTACAATTCTATGGAGCAGGTTCAAGGAAGAGGACGTTCTTATCCACGTGGGAGAGGACATGGTATCTTTAATTGAAGAGGAAGATCAGGTCCATCACGACTTTGCACCTACTCTGGGAAGACAAGTCATTCGGTTGATACTTGCTTTGAAAAACATGGTTTTCCTCCTGGTGTCAAGCAGAGAGGATTCACACACAAGGCAAATGCAGTAGCTTTAGGTACTGATGAAGTACAAAACACTGTGGAGAAGGTCAACAACTCTTCACAAACTGATGTGAAGGATAACTTTACAAATGAGCAGTACCAAACGATCCTTGAAATGATCCAACAGACAATGTAGAGTCCTCATACAAGTAACCTGGTGCAAGCTAAAGCTCTTAATGCATAAACCACAAAGACCTCATCAAGTACTTCTAATCTTCAGTGGATTTTAGACACAGGGGCCACATATCACATTACTTGTTTTTATGCAAATATGTCTAGCATTCAGAAAATTAAGCCTATTGCAATTTTCTTGCCTGATGGGAGTCAAGTATTTTCTTATCTCTCTAGAATAGTAGTACTTTCAAACTCTCTCAAATTAACAAATGTGTTGTATGTCAAGGAATTCATAGTGAATTTAATATCGGTTAATAAGCTGATCAGAGATTCTACTTATCGTGTGATTTTTCAGCATCCAATGTGTATTATTCAGCAAGTGCCCTCCATGGAGAGGATTGGTTTAGCTGAGTTGGTGAAAGGCTTGTACGTTCTGCAACATACAAGTTCTGAAAATACAATTTGTAATCATGGAATAAAAGATAGTTATCCTTGTAATAGTAGCTTCACTATACAATCAAAACATGTTGATGTGTGGCATTCACGTTTAGGCCACTGTTCCAAGTCTGTAATAAAAACCATGATGGTTCAATTTCCATTCATTTCCTGTAAAATTTAGATGATCCATGTGACATTTGTCATTTGGCAAAACAAAAGAAGTTGTCCTTTTCTAACAGCTCTTCAGTTTCAAATTCTGCTTTTGATATTATGCACATAGATATATGGGGGCCTTGTTTTGTCACTTCAATTCATGGACATCGATATCTCTTAATTGTTGTTGATGACTATACTCTTTATACTTGTGGGATTCTCATGAAATCAAAATTTGAAACTCGTAATCATATTCAGGAATTTGTGGCTCTCATTGAAAATCAATTCAAGGGGATTGTGAAATGTTTTCGCAGTGATAATGGCCCAAAATTTTGTTTGAATGAATTTTTTGCTTCAAAAGGTATTCTCCATCAGACTTCTTGTGATGAGTCCCCTCAACAAAATGGGACTATTGAAAGAAAGCACCAACACATTCTTAACATTGCAAGAGCTCTCTTTTTTCAAAGCAACTTACCACGAAACCTATGGTCGTATTGTGTCAGTCATGCTATCCACATCATTAATAGGCTTTGCTCTCCAACACTGAAAAACAAATCACCTTTTGAGCTTTTATATCGTAAGCCCCCAGTCCT